GTGCATACAAATGCAAAGGATTATTTCAGAAGTTTTCTATGACGCATCAGTGAGATTTTAAACAGTAAATTGAGATGAAATGCGATTTCAGTTAGCTGAAAAGAATATGAATGAGCATTATCTCTCTCGCTTTCTCACCATGGCTTGGGTAGCACTGAGCTTCGGTCAGCAGCACAGAAAGCAGATAGCAAGAGGACAAGGGCAGCGCAGGTAGATCATGTGTGACTATGGTAGCTTGCCCGGTATATTTTTCTTTAAAAAATAAATTTCACACAGACTGCAACAGTGGTTCGCTTTTTGATCAAAACACTTCAAAAATCATTATTTTTTTAAACTGATCTGATATTAAGCAACCAAGAAAAGATCCCAGCTGCATAAAGAACCACAAAATCACCATTATTTAGAGATTCTCTCTTTCCCACACCCACCTTCAGCTGGAATTCTAAAGTAGATGCAGCTATCATTCTTAAGCAGAGAGAACACTGTGCTAGGGAAGAGGAGTGAGAGGGAATTGTGCTGTAGACTGCTGTCCACTATTGGCTGAGTTAATACCACATCATTCTTTGAATTATAACCACAGTGTTATAACCCAACATGCCACAGATCTGCCTGTTATTCTGCCAAAATCTAGACATCAACATTTTATCAACGGCGTCATTTTCAGGACCCAGATCAATTTGTCCATCTATGGTTCTGTTTTCTCTTTAAATGGCTAATTTTTGCTAATCTATTACTTTCCTTCTCCCTTTCCCGCTTGCTGGTTTGACCATGTATGGTGTTTTCATTCTGACATCACAGTTCACTGAAAATGACACAGGAACCATGGTGAGGTCAGAAACAGCAAGGATCTCAAAAATCTAAGCAGAGGAAAAGGTGAAATTTGAGGGGGGGAAAGGGATGGACTTCTAATAAAATTAATTACAGGTCATTTTGTTATTATTTGTATTGCCTGGGAACCCTGTCATGGCCTGGATGGTACAAACGGAACACAAAGGCAATCCCTGAATCCAAATAGTTGATAGTCTAAAGTACATTTAGTTTTTAGTTCAGAATTTGGTTAGAAATTTGTCAATTAAATATGCAACGGCAAGCTGCAATGGTGGGATTTGTTAATCTTTCCACAAAGAAATGAACCATCTTCTTTCACCAAACAGCTCCCGGATAGTCCACATTTTTGACAGGCTGCCTGCTTTGGATGAGAACTGTGTGCATAAGAACAGCCGTACTGGGTCAGACCAAAGGTCCATCTAGCCCAGTATCCTGTCTACCGACAGTGGCCAATGCCAGGTGCCCCAGAGGGAGTGAACCTAACAGGTAATGATCAAGTGATCTCTCTCCTGCCGCCCGTCTCCACCCTCTGACAAACAGAGACTAGGGACACCATTCCTTACCCATCCTGGCTAATAGCCATTAATGGACTGTGTAAAATTCTGTCTCCTTTGAGCCACCTAAGAGCCAGACACGGTTTTTGCCCTGACAAATAAACCCAGTTTTTGTCACAGACACAGAATCACGAACTAAGATGGTAGCTACACAACCCACCAGGGACAAAAGCAGGAGGATCACATGGCCACTGGCTCCCCCTGCGGTTCATTCATTTCAGCACTCAGGCGAGCTAATAACCACTTCTACTTGCCAGCCAGAGCCCTGAACTTCCCAGGCCTGGGGCTCGGCGAGCCGGGCCGCTGCACTGTACCTGCTCCGTGTTCTTCAGCAGGGACTTGACCGCGGGGGCCGCGAAGTAGCTGGCGGCGTGGCCGTCCAGCTGGGCGTTGTACGGGGGCAAGGCGGACCACAGCTTGGGCGGGATGTGCGCGGCGCTGCCGGCCAGCGTGTCCACGGCCACCCCGTCCAGGATAAAGCCCTTCTGCCGCTGCAGACACCGCCTGCTGAGACAAGCCATGGCGAGCAAAGACAGGACCCCCCGCCCCGGCGCCAGCCCCGGCTCCTTGTGAGCCCCCGGCCCGGGCTGCCGCCTCCCTCCCTCCCCCGGCTCCCTGCATTGTTACGTTCGGGCGCCGCCCCTGGGAGGCTCCCCAGAGCCAGCTGCAGGGCAGCTGCCCGCCTCGGCTGGGAAAAGGGGGGGGGGGCACAAGCCTTCCCATCACTAGCCCCCCAGGAGCGGGACCCGCAGCACCGCAAGGCCGGCTCCCAGCCCGCTCCATCACGCCACGTGGGGCTGGGATGGAGTCAGCTGTTAGCCAGCCGCAGATGGCTGCGGGAGGGGGTATTACCGGCTACCAGCCCCCTCAGAGGCGGCCGGTTTGTTTGGGGGGCAGATTAAAGCAACGCGGGGCGAGGCTCTGCCTCCCCGCTCCCCTTTTCGTCCATAGCTCACCGGGGGAGGGGGGCTAGTCTAACCTACCTCCTGCTGCCCTGTCCAGCACCTGGGCACCTCTGTAAGCTAGTCCCTCATGCTCACCTCAAGCCATCCAGAAAATCAGGGCCGGGCCCTCCCCTGTGCCTGCACCTTGGAGTCCAAACTTCCTTTGGAGAGGGGCAGCAAGTGGCTAACCTCTGCTCCAAGCAAAGCAGTTAGGTAGAGTGACCAGATGTCCCGATTTTATAGGGACAGTCCCGATTTTTGGGTCTTTTTCTTATATAGGCTCCTATTACCCCCCACTCCCTGTCCCGATTTTTCACATTTGCTGTCTGGTCACCCTACAGTTAGGTCGCAGGGAGGTGCTTTGAACCCCGCCCTGCGCCCAGTAGGGAAGTGGTCTAGTCAGAGCCACTCAAACTGCTTAGCACAATCCGAAACTGACAGGCCCTAGAAGCAAATTAAAACAGGATCAGGGATTTATTTCCACACCTTGCAGGGAGTGCAGCGGATGGCTGCACTGGGAAGGGAGTTTGACAAGGGCTGAACCTACAAAGCTCTACAAAAGCCAGACTTTCAGCATACAGTATTATTGTACAGTTTAACTTGACTGAAGGATTTTTCCACTCCCACACAGGCCCTGGTAAAGATCCAGATGTGAAGCCCTTAACACTTCATGAGGAACCCCCCCACCACCACCACCACCATGCATGCTCCCAGCAGGCCAGCTCCTGTATGCTGAAAAGTTACAGCAGCATAACTCAAAAAGCTACCCTGAAAGCAGCATAACTAAGAGTCAGGGATGTGAAAATCACACCCATAATCAAGCAGCTACGTGGACATAACTGCATCTACAGTGGGGGTTATGTCGACAGAAGAGTGCTTCATTCAACATTTATAGGGCTTGTCTACACCATGCAGCTTTTAGTGTGTCCACACAGTCTTGTCACTAAGTCAGCGTGTGTAAACGCTCTTTGTCAGCACTTTTGCAGACAGAATACTTCCAGCCCGTGAGCGGTATTAGCTTTGTCAGCAAGAGCGACAAAGCCGCGTTCACACTGCCACTGATGTTGGCAAAACTTTTGTCTTTCGTGGGGAGCTTTTCTTAACTACCTGTGAAAGACAAAAGTTTTGTGGATAACTTTGCAGTGTAGACATAACCATAGTTAATACCTTTTGTGGAAGTGGTGTTCCAATACTGATCAAAAAACCACTTGTTGGTGTCTGCTCCATAAGTGTTGACATACCCTAAGGTCTTGAAAGTTAGGGGTTGTGTAAGCATATTGGTTAAACCCCCCACACCCTTAACTGACACCCTGGTATGAAGAAGGAAAATGGATTTATTTGCAATTCCGTTCAGTCTCACATCCACAGTTCTGCACTTAGACAAAAGAAAAAAAAGGTTGGGGATAAGATATGCCCCATCACAGCATAAGGACTGCAGCTTTTTGCACTATGTAGCAGCCTGTACTATCACCTTTTGCAATGTTTTACCCTAAATGCTGTAACTCCGGTCTTAAAAAGTTAGAGAGCCCATCAGCTCATCCTTACAAGGAATTTGGAATTCAAGTCTGCACATACCAGTTTGTGATGTGGCAGCCACTGCCTTCTCCAACAGCGGTGGGCTCTGCTATGCCCTTGGGCCACATTAAGCAAGTTCTCAATAAGAAAGTTCCTTTCCTGAGAGAGCTTAACTCTACCGCAGGAGACCCAATAACGACCAATGCTGTAGTTCAAACTCAAACACTGCTTTTCTCACAAAGCTTGTCTGTCATGAGCATCTTATACAGTAGAACCTCAGAGTTATGAAGGAACACCTCAGGAATGGAGGTTGTATGCAACTCGGAAGAGTTCACAACGCTGAACAAAACATTTGTTCTTTCAAAAGTTCACAACTGAACATTGACTTAATATTGTCATGTCATACTATGTTCAAACTGTACTATGCAGAAGAAAAACGCTGCTTTTAACCATCTTAATTTAAATGAAACAAGCACAGAAATGTCCTTACCTTGTCAAACCTTTTTTTTAAATAAACTTTCCCTTTATTTTTTAGTAGTTTACATTTAATACAGTACTGTACGTGTTTTTATTTTTTCCTTTTAACTCTGCTGCTGCCTATTGCGTACTTCCGATTCCAAATGAGGGGTGTGAGTCGACTGGTTAGTTCGTAACTCTTGTGTTCATAACGGAGGTTCTACTGTAGTACCAAACGTAAAAATATCAGGTAGCGTTGCAATACGAAGGAAATTATTCTGTTATGGGTTATTTCATGAACATCTGTCTCCTGGTGCATAGGAGTCGCACCTTTTAAAGCCAAGTTGCCATATTCCTATTGGAGCCTCAGGCCTTGTCTACACAAGAAAGACATTTTGGTATAACTCTAGGGGTGATTTTAAACAGATATTGTTATACCTGCAGAACCCCTTTCTGGAGACTCTTATGCTGGTATTAGAGAGCCTTATTGTCGTTCAGTTTGTGTTGCTGGGGAAGGAGTTTAAGCTCAACAAAAAAAGTCGTACTTTTAAGTGTATCCACACAGGGTATTATACCTATATGACTAAAGCTGTAAAGGTAAACTCTCCCTAGGCAGCCAAGCCCCCATGCTAGGAGCACCTTAGCCAGGTTTGTCAGGGAGGTGACATTCCGAGCTTTACAGTATCAACAGAGACATTAGGAATTTTGGTGCAACCACTTTTATTTTATCTTTACAACGAGGATGGAGCAGGTTTATGCGATGCTGCCAGCATTGGAGGCTATCCTGGGCCACAGATCTGCGCATTCCTTAGCCACGGGGCCTGTGATTGCTGAGCCTGTAAAAGGGGGGAAGGAAAAGGAGAAGTTAAGAACTAGTCAGAGCTTACGTTCTACACTCGGACCACATCCCTCTTCTGCGAGTGCTGTTCAGGCAGCATGTAGCATGTTCACAACAGAGCCATCAATATTTCTCTGCAGGAGCATCCAAGATACCCACTTTCAAGGCACTAAAAATAGTTTGGTCCTGAAGACAGTGGTACTCTCCTTGGGCCAGGAACGCAGCCATTTGTGCTGCACTATTCTTTATGAGTTTGCTCTTGTCCAGTGCAATAGATTGCCGTCTGTACCTTTCATTTCCCCTTTGTTATTTACTATCACTCCCGCGTTGTCTTCAAAATAGAGGAACACCCCGTCTTTTCTCCGGTACGATTTCCGCTGCCGAATTACCACTGCCGGGTGCACTGCAGGGAGAAAGACAAGCTCAAGATCCTAAATTTCCAAGTACAGCCCAACAGCAGAAACTCAAAAGGAATCCCCCAGGTGCAATGCTGTGCTCAACACTAAGTGTCTTCTTCTGAGCCCTACCCTTGCAAGGCCTCACTAGGCAACTAGATGGGCATATGGGATTTTGGTCCCAGTAAAGGTTTCCTGTTGTACGGGGATTGCCACCAAAGTTATTACCATCAGTGGCCTCTGGGACTGATACCACCAAGCATCCATGTCACAAAATGTTTTTTGTTGATAGCTTCATCTGAGAAGCCAAGGACTGGATGGGCTACAGAAACCGTGAAGAGTAGGGTTGAGGTGGGAGCAGTCCTCCTGGCTATTGTCTGCTCTGTGAGCAAAGGGGTCTGCAGTTTCCCAGCCTGTCAAGCCAAAGCCTTTCACCGGAACTACATTTATGACGAGCAGGTTTCCACCCTAAACACTGCTCCACACATTTACTCTGATTGAAAGTCTTTGATATTTAGTTTCACAAGGGCTAAGACCGCTTCTCTGCTGAGCACGCAGTCAGTATGCTGGTTCAGAAGGAAAACCCAGCTTTGCGTGTGTGTGTATATATCCATTAAAATAAAAACCAGTCCAATGCAATATTACACGTGAATCTACACCCGAGTGACTCAATACCATTAATGTTCTAACCCAGTGCTCAAACAGCCTTTTGTAAGGTAAACCTGGCCACATTTCCAGACGCAAGGTCACTCCCCACAGAGACATCCAGCAGGGAAAACCCTTCCCCAAACACTTAAGACTAATTGAAGAAAAAAATATATATATATATATACACACTAATAATCAAACCAGAATGTGAACTTTCAGGACTGTCACGCCACTCATTGAAGTTAACAGCACGTGCTGCTGCTAACCTCACCCAAAAGTGAGGTTTTGCTATCCCCTTCCACGACAACTCACGGAGCCACTGAGCACAGACCCAGCAAGTGCTTTTTAGAAGGGGGAAGCTGCTGCTTCAGAGAAGGCTGCCTACTTCTAGCATCATTGTTGGTATGTCGAAACTGCCTTGCTCCTCCCATGTGGAAGGGCTGCCTTTCCATCTCCCAGAGGAAGGGCAACCTGCGAGGGACTAGGAAGTCCAGCAGCAGATGGAGGCCTGATGAGCTCATGCTGTTACGTCAGTTCTAGTTCTGTCTTGGGTATGAGCTGCAATGCTGCGATCATCTTACATCAAGGTTAGACCCAGCATACTCTACATGCACATCCATGTTTGTGTGTCTGGTTTGTGTTATACCTGGTGACAAACACAACTCAGTTGTGCCCAGACAGTATTCCCACCTCCCTCCCCAAAGAAACAAATCATGTTTGTAGCACTGCCTTGTGGGAAATCTGGGCACCTAAGGTCTTAAACCTACAGGACAGCACGTCTGTAGCAGACGCTTACAGAACAGCCCATGGGATACTTCCAACACTCACCCTTCTTCCTGAGCTCTGGCTTGCCCTTCTTGACAGTAGCCATGACCATGTCACCTACACCAGCAGCTGGCAGCCTGTTCAGGCGCCCCTTAATCCCCTTCACGGAGATGATGTACAGGTTCTTGGCACCTACATGGAAAAAACCATTTTGAATTAGCCAACTCATCACATAATAGATGTCCCCTCATGGATCACTGTCACACCGCTCATTGAAGTTAACCGCACATGCCGCCACCTCACCCAAAAGCGATGCCTTTTTTATGCCCTTCCACGACAACTCACTGAGTCACTGACCACAGACCCAGCAAGTGCTTTTCGGAAGGGGGAAGCTGCTGTTGTTGCTTCTGAGGTAGGATGCGTTTTTTAGCATCATTATTGAGCGATAAGTTTAAATTCTACAGAAGCAGATTAACAGATACCCAGATGTGAAGGCCAGAGGAACCATTATGATCATCTAGCCTGATTCCTGACATAACCCAGTAATCTCTTTGTCAAGCCCATAATTTCAGTTTGACTTTAAGCAGCATCTCTCTCAGCGAGGTATCCAGTCTTGATTTAAAGATTCCAAGTGACTGAGAGCCCACCCAGTTGTTCCAATGGTTAATTACCCTCACTGTTAAAAACTAGCACCTTAATTTCCAGTGCGAATTTGCCTGGCTTCAACTTCCTTTAGTCAGTTACCTACACAAACTCTAACGAGATAAACAGACAAGGCAGAATGGCTGCCGAAGCAGAAACAAGTGATGTTGACACCAGAAAGGAGCCAGACAGACTCACCTGTGTTATCTGCACAGTTAATCACAGCTCCCACGGGGAGACCGAGGGAAATACGGAATTTCGCACCGGACGAACCACCACGTCCTGTGGGTTAAAAAGAAGAGTATTTGTAACCTCTTTCCTATGTCAGGGATGATATGAATCATGATTCAAAATAATACATTTTATTGAAACTATAATTTTATCTAAAGTGATTTTTAGAACCCAAACCACATTTTTACTTGTAATACTAGTTCTTTAGATTGTAAATTGGGGGGAGGAGGGAGTAAAGTGGATGTTTTCTGGTGGTTCTTTAGTTTCCTATCTGTTGTTAGTGTTAGTGACATTTATGTGGAAATGACGTAGGTTTTGTTCCTATAAGTTTTGCCCTGAAAGCTGTTCATATCTACTGAAAGAGACAAGCTCAGGTCTCACATTAACATCCTTACTACGAGAACACAAACTCAAACACAAAATTGATAAGCAAATAGCCAGTGCCATGTTTGCAACCTATACCATCTTCTGATGCACTGGAAGACTTGTGCTACTAAATAAATTAAGCACTTCTGAAAACCCCAACTACAAGTGCTTACATTTGCATCTAATTTGGAGCTATTTTTGAAAATTCTGGCCCAGAGCATATGAGAAAATTCACAACAACTTTGTTAATGTACTGAAACGCTAAATAAATCTTCACTGTTAACAATGATACAGTCTTGTTTTGAAATGACAGATTTTACAGGAAGAGAAGTTTTTAATGAATATACCATTCTAGTCTCCCAGGCTATAAATGCTTATATGTGAATAAAGTTACACCTCTATTTAAATATTTGCAGCACCAGGGTCACCACTGGCAATATTTTGGTTTTTGCCTGTATCACACCGTAATTCAAATAAAATACCCTCCCAGCAGGGGCATTATTAAAAAGAGCACTGACTGATCTCTCCATTGGCTAGAAGTTTTAATCTAAAACTGCAATAGTACAATTATCCAAACAGTCTCAAACCCTATTTAAACCGGCTAGTTTAAAACATGCGATTTAAAACGCTCCACGCAGGCCCATGTATTTTTAACCTGCCCGTCCCTGTAGATGCTAGGCATCAAACCCATTACTCAACCCAAGGAAAGCACCGTATCTCTCAGCTACTTTTCCTTCTCTTACTTACAGGGCTGGTTCCTCCCCTCGCATGCCCAGGTGCAAGGAGCAGTTTCCAGCCATGGGACAATCCCAGGTCCTGCGCTCCCCTTTGCACGCCCCCCAAAGTGGGCCCTGCCCCTAGGATCTTATTTCGACCCTAATTTCTCATCCACGTGGGCCTCAGCGCTCCCCGTTCCAAGCTAAAGCCCCCCACCCCCGCTATGGACCGTCCAACGCCCCCTTCTGGCCACCGATCTCCCCCCCCTCCAAGTGCCTCTAGGCCCTCCCGCTCCTTCCCAGCCTCAAACCTCCGCACCCGCTCCAAGGCCCGGGCTCCTCCACCCCGTCAGCGGGACCCGCCAGTCCCCGTCCCCAGCGGGCCTATCCCCGCTTCTCTCCCTCCCTCATACCCGGCCCCGAAGGGAGTCCGGGCTCCCCCTAGTCCATCCCCCCGGGTCCCGGAGCCGCGTGACCCGTGGGGCCGGAGGATGGCGACGGATTCTCCCCGCCCCGAGTGGGAGCCGCTCTCGCTAGGCCTCACCTCGCTTGGACATCTTGGGGCCCGAAAAAAAAAAAGAGAAAGGGCGGCGCAAAGGATGCCGGGATATTAGTTCCCGCACGGCGCACGGCCTGCTACGTCACACGACGGCACGGAGGCGAGGACCTCCCTCGACACGTGACGCAGTTACGCCCTAGTCCCTCATCACGTGATAAGGAATGGCGCTCTGGTCTCTGGAGTCGCTGGTAGTCTCAGTGCACCACAGTGCCACCTATGGAGGCAAGTGGGGAACTGCAGCCGATTTATGTAAGAGCGTTAGCCCACCAAGCACACGTGGCACAGGCACTAGAGGGAGGGAGGGTTGGTGGTAGGTTGATGGAGAAGGGGGGCATTTGCAAAGGAAAATCCTCCCAGCATTGGAGTTTGGCCAGGGCACCTGGGGTAACAACCTTGCTCTGATATAAAGTGCTTTGGGGTGGGTAGGACCTCAGTTTTATTCCCATCCAAACACCCCTTCATCTAGGGTGACCAGATAGCAAGGGTGAAAAATCAGGACAGGGGTGGGGAGTAATAGGCACCTATATAAGAAAAAGCCCCAAATATCGGGACTGTCCCTATAAAATCAGGACATCTGGTCACCCTACCTTCATCCAATGCCGGTGTAATGACAGAAAAACCTCCCTCTCCCAATTCCCTCTGGGCATCAGTTCAGAGGCAGGCACCCATCCTATTAATAGAACCCTGCAAATCTGCGGATATCCGCTTTATATCGGCGACCATGTTTGCGGATTGGATGCGGATACAAATTTTGTATCCTTTCAAGGCTCTGCCGATTAAATCACGGCATGCAACGCTACTTGTTTCAGTATCTGTGTTGCTGGCCTAATCAAGTGCAGCAGATCTGCATGCCTTACGATTTCAACCCAATTTTGAGAAGGTCACAGCTAAGGCTGTGGCACTCCTCTTGCAGCATATGAGTTGGAAATTAACTGGAGCTGACTTAAATTAAAACCTCAGAGAGAAAATAGAGAATCTTGCCAAAGAAGGTAAATAATCACAGGGGGGGAAATGACATCTATCGGAGCATCAAAACTGAGACTAGATACAATCAAAACTACATTTGGTTCCTGCGGAGCGAAATGTCAGTAGCTCAGAAAAACAGATTTTTTTCCACAATGCAGACTTTTGTATTGCAGGAGTTGGATGAAATCTGGCCCTAAATAACTGCAATATACTTAGGGATGACGGATTGTAAAGAAGCCCTTTCTGGGGGTTTTCAGAATTCACTTTGCAGTTTTGTTAATTATCAAATAGATTTGTTTTGAAAGAAGCCTTTACTCTTCCCACCCCTGCTTCCTCCAATCGCATCTTCCCATCCAGAAGCCTGTTGAGTGAAGTAACAATGCGGAATTTGTAACCTCTCATTCAGTTCTAAGGCAGGATGCAGGTCCTTCATGTTTTCAAACAGTCAGTCCTGCTTTTCTAAGGTTTGTCCCCTTCTGGTACAGTGACAAAATCGGTATTTGATGGGGGGTGCCATTTTGAAGAGCACGCTGGTCCACCTGCGCTGGCATGATGTTGCACACACGGTGTGGATAATGTCACACAGGCAGGGGCAGAGCGGCGCATTCTTCTAAATGGCACATGAGGTCATGCCAGTGGGGGGCAGGTCCACACCGTTGCCTGAAGTTCCTGGAACATCCAGTCTTCTGGGACTGTGTGAGTGGCCACGCTAGCAGGCAGCAAGGTCATAAACACAGGGTTTGACTTTGCTATGGGTTCAAGTAATAATATATTTTTTTGACTTATATAGCACTTTTCTTCAGCAGATCTCAAAGCACTTTACAAAGGTGGCAGCCGCACATGAGCGGCGCGTGAACCGCCCATTGGAGGAGGCTAGCCTCTGGCCCCACCCCTTCTGCCCAAGGCCCTGCCCCTCCCCTCCCCCATTGGAGCCCAGAGCCCCCTCACCACGACCACCAGCCCCCCAACCCAAGTCCCGGGCCACCCAAGTGTCACCAACTCCAGAACACTGTGTGGGCGGCACAGCCCCAGCCTCTCTGGCCCCAGGCCCCCCAACCCCGGAGCACCAGATGGGTGGCATGGCCCCAGTGCCCCCAGCGCCCCCAGCCCCAGCGCACCCGCCAGCCCTGGAGCACCGAGCAGTGCGAGCACTGGCCCCAGGCAGGGTCAAAGAACAGGAAGCCGTAAGGGGTGTGGAGGTGGAGCATGGGTGGGGCCACGCTGGGCTATTTGGGGGGGCTTAGCCTCCCCCGGCCTGTGATACCCGCCGCCCATGCAGCCACACTTCATAGATGTGAAAACTGGGGACAGGCCTACACTACAAAATTAAGCCGGCTTAGCTACATCGCTCAGGGCTGTAAAAAAATTCACCCCCTGTGCGATGGAATTAAGGTGACTTAAATCCCAGTGTAGACACCGCTAAGTAGATGGAAGAATTCTGATTCTTCCATTAACCTAGCTCCTGCCTCTCAGAAAGGTGGATTTACTACAGGGACAGAAGAACTCCTGTCTTTGCTGAAGTTAGTGTCTATATTACAACACTACAGGGGTCTAGCTACAACACTGCAGCTGTGCCGTTGTTGTGTTTCTAGTGTAGACATACCCTATGGCACAGAGACATTATTTGGTTTTTAATATTAAATTTGGAATTCTCTTTATTTCACCTCTGGTGTAGGAACATTTAAGGTTTACATTTTCAGGCTTTTCCCTGCAGCCATGAGGGCTCCAATTACTTTTTGTTGAAATGAAGGCCAAGATTTTCAAGTAATAACCTGACTCCAGCAGCTGGGGCTTTGAGAAAAACATCAAATGTCATGAGACTTGTGCTAAAATTGTGAAAGCTGGCAACACTGTTAGCCACTTGGCTGTAATTTTCACAGACAAGGGAAACTGGGTGGGAATGAGACTATTTAGAGAATTATGTAATCTTTGTAAAGTGTTTGGAAAAGGAAAATCTTCATATAAATTCTGCGCAATATTGAGGCAAACCCTGAAGTCTTTGCTCTGTTTTTATTCATTCCACTTCAGTTTCCTTGAGGAAAAACTAAGAACAAGACCAAATAAAAGCTCATTTAAGGAGGGGGCAAGCTAAACGGATATAAGCCAGATCTAAACCGCTATTAGAGTGTCTATACCCAAACTCACACAAGTGTCACGCCACATCTTTAGTGTAATTTTTGCATACAGACCAGTCTTTGCAAAGAGCTGACTCTGTTCACCAGTCTTTTAAACACTGCTGGAATTTAGCAGGCCAATACGTTGGCTTAGACCAACTTTTTATTTGCAGCTCAAAGGGTTGCTGTTTCAAAATATCTTTCAACACCTTTTTGGAAATCTCAGGTGTAATTTTTAAATACAAATTCTGACTTTTATGTATTATGGGAGTATGGCAATAATCTTTTTCACTCCAGCGCACATAGGTTGTATTGACAATAGCCCTTTTCCCATAGCTGTTTCTCTGGACAGACTGTAATATCTTCCATCTGAGGAACTAAAAGTGCTTTAAGGTGTTGGTGAATAAAGCCAGACAACATCCTTATGAGATAGATCTTGTTGTCCTACTCTCACCTTTGGGGAAACCAAGGCACAGTAAATCTCCCCCAGATCACATCTGATGCATAACTGCAAATAGGACAGAGAGGTCCTGACTCCTGATTATAATTTACATGCCCTAACCTAGGTATAGTGTATCATACCACCCTCTACATATGCATACAGGAGGGAGAGGGATTTAAACCAGGGCCTGTTAAAGCTGCATGCAAACTTCTGGGGCTTGTTATATAGAATATTAGGGTTAGAAGGGACCTCAAGAAAGTCATCTAGTCTAGACCCTGCTCATCCCCAGACAGATTTTTACCCCAGTTCCCTAAATGGCCCCCTTAAGAATTGAACTCACAACCCTGGGTTTAGCAGGCCAATGCTCAAACCACTGAGCTATCCCTCTGCCTTTTCTATACTTTGATATAAGAGTTTAAAAGCTTGGCTAAAGAAAAACTGAAGGTGTGTTAGGGTTTAGAAAGAGATTTTTCACCAGTAGAGTTACTCAATGGAGTTATGAGCTCCCATTTGACAGAAAACACACTACTGTTCTAAACCAGGAAGAACTACTTTTTAACAATCACCTGAAGTTGAAGCAGGGGGGTCTCTTGATTTTTTTTTTAAATCTACCATTGATCTACACACACTTAGGAAGTCAGTTACACTTTATCCTATTTTTTTTAACAGTCTTTATAAAATCACCGGCATTAAGTAAATACTAGATAGACTGGGATTTAACTTTGGAGGAAAATTCTACAATATTGGTTAGAACCTGAAAAAGAAATGAAAATAAAGAGGAGCCGGAAGATTCCTGATAGTCTCACACTTCCAGGTGAGGTAAGAGCTCTCTTCTTCACCAGTATAAGCATCTGAAAACACTTGAAAAAGCTAGAATGGGGTTATTGTTAACGCTGCAGCCCCAATAGCAGTTAGAAGACAGCGCTATACATGAAATCCTCTTTTCAGCAGAGATGATGAAAAATGACTTTTTCAACAACAACAAATGTTCACAGTTTTTGCTTTGGTTGAAATTTTTTCTTCTTTTTTTTTAGTGAAAAAATGTTGAAAGGAAATGTTTGGGTGTTTTGGCAAAAATTCTTTTCAAAAAGGGTTTTGTGTCCATGTTTCCCCCACTGGAAGAAAAGACAAAACAAACAAACAAAAACCAAGTGACACAAAGTGGCTCTTTCAAAAAAAAACAAAGGAGAGAAAGTTTGTGTGGGAAGCAGAACCCAAACCATCCGCCTTAAAACAATCATTTAAAAATTAAGATAAAAAACCCTGAAAAACTGAAATTCCATTTTTCAGTTCAAAACTAAACAATAACGTTCATTTTCTTCGAATTTTTCCCATTACATTTGATTTAGGTCCCCATTGCTGTGAATACTCACAACCAAACCAAAATCCACAGTTGGGCCTGGTGGGGGAAAAAATTCAAATTAAGATTATAATTCTTTTTTACAATTCATATCAATTAGATTTTTTTTTTTGCTCTTTTTCCACTAACCCTAACTATGGATTTTGATTTGCTCAGGTAGAATCACAGATTCTGTAATTTGAGCAGAGAAAAGTGCTAGAAGTAACATAGAAGCTCTAACAAGTAGGGTTTGGGCAGCGTACCTCA